GTGATATATTATTGGATGGTAATACAGATGAAAAATGTTTTCATTGATTCATGAGGTTGAAAAATCGAATGTTAGGGACAGAGGGCGCTAGCCCTCCTCTAACGCCCGACACGCTGGAATTCCACGTTGGAATTCCAGCATGGAATTCTCATGATGTCCATATGAAATTCCTAAAAATCTACACAGTCTTGCTAATCCTCGCGTAGTGAATGCATCTCATCTTGTCAGAGTGTTGAATTGTTCTCATTTGAAATATACTTTCAAATTATTCCTTTTGGAGTCCTTATTGAAGGGCTCCCTGCCGTGTTCCCTGGCAGATTCTGTGTTTTATTCTTGTGCTAATCTTGTCAATTATTTGAATCTCAATTCGTCTTTGTGGCTTGTGTGCCACAAAAGTGGTAGCAGAGCGTAGGATAACGTAAAGGCAAAAATTCAAAGAATTCGATTTAAAATCCGTCCCAAATAAACACGATTTAAAAATTTGATTTAAAATCCGTCCCAAATGTACACCCACGTACCGATTCCGAAACCGGAAGTCATTGAAGTACTGAGGATCATAATTGCAGGTAGATCCGAGTTCTCTCGTAGTGTTCCAGTAAAACCGTAATCATCTGTCGCATATGAGTAATCCTCGAGCACACACCCAGGAATGGGTAAAGGAACTCTCCAGTCTCCAAGCAAATCTAGCAATCTATCGGTAATCTTCATGATACGCGAAGCATTTCTGCAATACTGCATACAATCCTCTGGCGCAAACTTTGTAATCATGAAAATTTTACAAACCACATCTGAAATTGCACATTAAACATGAAATATATAGATTCATCCCGTATTAATCTCATGAAACGATTAGCTAAAGTCTTTTACCATCCGCAAGTAGTTCCAAATCGGTTCGCGCAGAATCAGCGTCACTTTGCGCATAATTCACATTCGCAATTTCTTTTGCCTCAACTTTTTTGTTTTTGCCTTCCTTCATCTCTTTAAAAACAGCGCTACTAGCCATTGATTCACAAGAAATCTTCTCATCCGTATACGGTAACAAACCTCGATTCATGTCGCAAATCCAGGTGAGTAGCACTTTGTCAGCTGGACCGAGCACCATTTCTGCGTCACGGAATCGCAAAGTAACGACCCCATCTAATTTACGGGCTAGAAATTTACAATATACAATCCATATAAAGCAAAAGACTTTGTACAAAGTCTTGCTTACCTTCTTCCTTCTTCGAAAATGAAACCTCATCAGCCAAATACCAACGCCGCGACCCAAGGGATTCATTGATAGAACACGTATCCAACACCAACACGCGCTTAAATGCTTCTTTCAAAACCAAATCCGCCTGTTCTTGTAATTTCTTAGCCTGGTCAACCTTCTGCTGTTCAGTTTCAATCCATTTCTTTAATTTGACTTCAGTTCCCTCAAGTAAAACACATTCTTCCCCAATCTCAGCTATACGCATCTTCTTCAGATGAAGTTCCCTTTCTGCCCCGCGTAGCTCGGAATCCGCAATGAACTCACTCTGAATAACCTGATATTTAATTTTCATGTGTACCTTATGAGCTCAAACATATACTTTAGCAAAAAGAAGAAACATAGCGCTACGTACCTTAAGAAACTTCTCCAATTGAATCCGTTGATCCCCGGTAAGCGATTCCACTCCTTTCAATTGATCCAGCTCCAAATTAGATCCCTTCTCAGAAGTTACCGCAATTTCCGCACCTTCACCATCACGTACCCTCTTTCTGGGATTCACGTCCATTGTTTGAATGCGCTTCATCAATTTGGTCAGTTCTTCTGTCATTTCAGAATTTTAGATTGTATCAACTTCCAGCCGATTTCATTACTTGGGTACAACATACCTGCAACCACCTTTGCCGATTTCCGATTTGACGATGGACCTCCGTGCGCCATCGATGAGCAATACAAAATATCCCACGGAAATGTTAGATGCACTTTTTTGCAAGTTCACTAGCAACCGGAATGCCTGAAAAGCCGAATTGTCCAAAAAAGGAAATCAATTCACATGGAAATCCCGAAAACTCAACAGTCGGATTCACACGTATCATTCATTGTTGACCAATGCTGTCACATTCGCATTTTGGACCAGTGCTGTCCCATTCATGACCACTGCCGTCGAACATTCAAAGATATTATCAAAAGAAAACCAGAATCGCCCCTTTTTACTTTCCTCTTTATAAATATATAATGCATAACCACTTTCACTTCACTTTGCAAACTTGCGTCTTCCTGCTCCAACTTGAACTGGCCATTCAACTTGGGGCGGTCTGGGAACACTTCTTTCACTTTTCACTCCAGCAATCTCTAGCAAAATCTCAAAAATTCAAGAAGCACTTTCTGATTCAGCCTCTGACTCAAAAATTCGCTTCCATCCTTATCCCCAGGTTTTTTTTGAAGTAAACTCGTAATCCGCTTAAGCTTAGTGAACCAGTCAAAATCAGCCGTTGGCGCCCCCTCTCCCTTCCATCGTTGGAGCCTCGCACCTAAGAAAAATCCAGGTGTCTCAGCTCCGGGGGTTTATGTTAGGGACAGAGGGCGCTAGCCCTCCTCTTACGCCCAACACGCTGGAATTCCACGTTGGAATTCCAGCATGGAATTCTCACAACGTCCATATCAAATTCCTAAAAATCTACACAGTCTTGCTAATCCTTGCGTAGTGAATGCATCTCATCTTGTCAGAGTTTTGAATTGTTCTCATTCAAAATATACTTTCAAATTATTCCTTTTGGAGTCCTTATCAAAGGGCTCCCTGCCGTGTTCCCCAGCGGATTCCGTGTTTTATTCTTGTGCTAATCTTGTCAATTATTTGAATCTCAATTTGTCTTTGTGGCTTGTGCGCCACATCGAAGGAATTCTTTGTTGTCGAGAAGTACATAACTAAGAGGTATTTCAATCATTTGTCATGTTTTTGAAGTTTCCTACGAAAGTGGCCAATCAGCTGAAAATCAATGCTTGAAAACAATCAACAGTACAAGCTTTCTATGAATGTTGTACTTTAACAGTAGTGTCCTTGAACAAATCACAAGCTTCAAAACCCAACGCCTTCAGATATGATCTACGCGTGAGACCTGTTTCATTCTATCTAGACTCGAGAGCAGAAAATTTTTTAATGAGTCGTAGGTGTCGCTCTTCTCTCAATAGTAAACTACAGTATGAATTCCGCATCTTCCGTTTCGATATCTTCCATCGCTCACCACTCGACTCTTTGGAGTAATATTTTTTAGAAATGCTCAAATAATTACAGTATCGTCTATCGTAAGAATGGAATTAAAATTTCTCCATGTTTCCCCCATCTTCACAACCATTGAATTAGCGCAGATTGCAAGAAATGCACTAAAATACGCGGGGCAAAAATCTTTCGGTCGCTACGTGTAATATGTTGACACAGCGGAGCTGAACGAGAAGGAGGAACAATATGAGTCACAAACTCACAATGTTAGTTCATCTAAACCAAGAATTTGAAAGAGGTACAAGAGTACAGAGCATAAACATAATTCTTTTCAGAATGATAAAAATTTCGAGTCGACTATCTTTTTTGATACCAAAAAAACATTCTCAATAGTTTGCCAAACTATTATTCAGTGTGGGATGTCTTACATATATGCTCAATATTTTCCAAACCTATTTTTTTTATGTTCAGCAAACCAAAACCGGTCACTCTTTTCTAATTAAGCTCATCATGCATCATGACGAGGTCAAAAATGAACGAATTTTGGTTGATCACGAGTAGGTGATTTCGAGGCTGTGGTCAGTTGTCAAGTCAAAAAAAAATTTATGCATTGTAGGAGTAAATGTAGCAATTGTAAGACTCGTAAAAAAAAGTTCTTGTGAATTAAAAAAAAAGTGTTACGCTGATTTCGAATCTTGGTGCACCACAAGTTTATGAACCAATTATCTGGATGAAAGCAATTATTTCCGCTCGTCGAAACAGTGGTTTTGGTTGAGGTTTTGTGATTGGTGAGATAGCAACCTTACACAAAGTGAATACTAATAACCTTGAGAAATACTATACTCCATGGTCGAACACATCAGGGCTTTATTTAAAACTTGTCAGTTCGTCAATTTAATTTGATTACATAATTGTTGAATCTTGATTCTTCGAATTGCATTGGACTTCAAACCGAAACTTCAATTGAAATTTGCTCATCAAGGTTTTTGGACCATTTTCCTCCAAAACTGCGAGCTGACTTCCGCTCATTCTTCAGATTCCAAAAGACAACCGCAACCACACAAAAAAAAAAAAAAAAAAGGGCTTACAAAAAATAAAAAAAAAAAAAAAAAAACCAAAAAAAAAAAAAAAAAAAAAAAAAAAAAAATGGCGTTCAAATACTACGAAAAATTTTTAAAAGAAAACTCGTACAATTGAAACGTAAGAAATTCTCCATGTATGCGTTGACGCCTCTCGTAAATTTATTGGTTGAAAATTGTATACTGTAGAATGCATTTGAAACAGGAGGTCGATCCACACTGTTGGAACACTGCACAGAGCATCAGTGTGGTCTTCCAAATATTTCTTCAATTCATTTTAGATCAGGCGTAAGTTGCACATCGGGATAGCTTTTGGAAGGAAAACGAAGTTCAAATGACCCAAGAAACATTTTTGATGAGTCGGGTATCACATGAACAACGTGTTGATCAACAAAATCTTTGAAATCACTATCCATCAGAGGAAAAATTGAATTTGACAGAGCAGATATTTCTGAAAATTGAAAATGCCGTCCTAAAGTGATTCTTGAAGATGCAAAAAAGTGAAAAAAATTTTGAAACAATCTTCGGTTCAGAGGATTTTTTTATACTGGTAACCCAATGCGAGACCAATACAATAAATTACTCATCCTCCCGCAAAAATAGAGAGTCCAGAACATGAGAAATGTCGACGCAAACACACGAGTCAACATTGAAGAAAACGGAACACAACGAACAAAAGAATTTGGCATGAAACTTGAACGCATCGACGTTGCCTAATCAAAACCCTAAGACTCGCTTAGGCCTTGTAGGGCGCCGGGGCATAGGCGGGCTTGTAAGCCGGCTTGTAGGCGGGCTTGTAGGCAGGCTTGTGGTAGGCGGGCTCTGCCTTGTAGGGTGCTGGTGCGTAGGCAGGCTCGGCATGGTAGGCGGGTTTGTGGTAGGCCGGTTCGGGCTTGTAGGGGGCTGGGACGTAGGCGGGCTTGTGGTAGCTGGCCTCAGCCTTGTACGGGGCCGGGGCATAAGAAGGTTTGTTGTAGGCAGAGTCGTATTTGGCCTCTCCTGAGTAGGTGACCTCAGCCACGTAGCCAGAGTCGCCGTTGACGTAGTACTTCACGTACTGGGTCCTGCCGTCGGGCAACAGAACGTAGTAGGAGCCGTCGGTGTTGTAGCCATCGCGGCTCTCGGTCTGGCCATAGTTGTTGTAGGTGTAGTCGTCCTTCACGGCCCAGTCGAAGGTGTACTTCGGGTGCTACACCAGAGGAACAAGAAACAAGTGTATCGTTGGAGCATCTCAAACCTGAATTTTCTGGTCATCATTCATCAAAAATAAAGCCTTCTCTGAGAAAATGTCCGAGAAAATGTTGCACTTCAACCTCGCCGGAAAGAATAATGGAAAGACTGCCTGGTTGAAAACTTTAAAAATTTCGCCTCAAGAAACACGTTTTACTGTACTTATCCCAATATGCCCTCGGTATTTTAAATTCCTCGTAGATCTTTTTAGCAAATCTTGCAGACGTTGGATTTTCGTCTCGTTTTAATGCAGCGTCAAAGCTTTTTTTAGTTTGAATCGGGAGGAAATTTGATCCGCATTGTGAAATGCACAACATATTTTTTGACCTTCGACTTTAGCAGTATGCCACGAGGAACTTAACATCATGTTGTATAGTCATTGAAAATGCATGTCTAGTTGCGTTGAACTTTTCGGAAAATCGAAGCTAAATTCTACGCAAGATTCTTCCCGGTGCAATGGAATGCAGCTTTTTTCGAACTCAATACAATTTCAGGGATTTCAAACATTTACGCCTTTATTGATTATGGTCTTCAATAAAATAAGAACTGCTTGAATTGCTCGTTGCAATTCTTCAACCTCTCGGAAACTTTTGTTAATTTAATTGGTAAATGGTCAATCTCGAAGATCTCTCATTTTATTTAACTTTGACGCAAGATACCGACCGATATTAAGAATCAGCCCTCAAAAAATCTTTAGAAATATAAAGCAGATATACTTCCCACTTTAAGGTGAACAAAATTTAATCTGCAAGAAAAGAACGTACAGTATTTGGGAACTGGAAAAATGACGAAATTCGTCAAAAAAGAGAACTTGCGAGCGAACAAGAAAACAAGGATGGCGATGAGATTAATTTGCACAAGGAACGCTTAATGAGCGATTGTTCATGAAGCTTCGTATTGTTCCCGGAGCTTCATGATTAACTTTCAAAAACAATAGGGATTTTCAACCTCAACTGAAAGTAGTAAATGCAAATGAAAGGAAACAGAAAGCAGACTCACGTCGTCATAGGAAGGCTCCTTGTATGCTGGTTTGTATGCTGGTCTGTAGGCGTCATCAGCCACGCAAACGGCGGCGAAAGCAAGAATAGCGGCGAGCTGGAAAGAAAAATAGTGCTTTTGATTTATTTTCCCAATGACCCTATGATCAGAAAAATACAAAATATAAAACTTGGCAACATCAAGCGGAAAAGTCCAGAGTGCTTTAGTGTTTTTTTATAATGCAAAATGGAAGTCTCAATACCGGAGATCTCAAGATTTCTGTTGTTATTCTTTCTAATATTTATTTAATTCGTCACAAAAACTCATAACATTAAAAAATTATTTCAAAAAAACGGCGAGAAAATCGAGCTTTAAAAAATGAAATGGAAGGGATTTTCATAGCTTTATACTAGTATCACTCCAGCGAGAATAAAGAAAAGTATTCGAAGTTTCCAGCGAGAATGAAGGAAAGTATTTGAAGTTTCCAGCTAATTTCATTTCTGTCCCTAGAAACTGTAAAATTTTATTTTTTATCTTTGAAAATACATAAGATGATAAGAATGTATGCTATTGGAAAATTTCTTTTTTGCGACGATCCTGCAAAAATTGCAGCGTGTTTCGCCAAGAAATATTCCACGTGGAATTTTGAGAGATGACTCACCTTGAACATTTTTTTCAGCTATAAAATTTTTACGTGAGAGGATGAATAGATTATTCGAGCTAGAATGTAGTTCACTTGTAGATAGTTGAATAAATACTGATGCTTGTGCCTGGACTTCGTCCTGTTTTTATATAGAGCAGTCGGAAGCAAAGTTGGTGGCGACCTCGGATCGGGTCGGCCTTTTTCTCTTGGGCGGGGTCGGGCCCGCCGGGATGCTGTGGGGTTGCGTTTTGTTGATAAACTCCTGGGTTCTGATATTTTTTTACCCCATCACCTATAGAACTGTTTGTTACGTTTCTCCTACATCACCCCGCCTTTTGTTTCGGATTTTAGATCGGTTGCAACCCGAACACCGGAGGCCACGCGTCTTTGGTTCGGGTACACCTTTGCAGAGAGATGACAAGGTGTTTATTTCATTATGCAAACTTCGAAGGCTCTACTGTTTCACAGATTTTATTCGAAAGGCATCTCTTTCCTTCAATTATCTTGGTTTCACTATTTGGCTATTTTTGAGGCCATTTTTAAGTTGAAGAATTGAACCCTCTAGCCAAGCTGAAAGAACATCACGAATTTTTCTGGCGGCGAACAGTTCAAAATGTATTCGAAAGCAGAAATATAAAATAATAGGAAAACTTGGTATTTTTTGTGCCTTTCATTCAAATTACGTTTTCTGGGCATAAAGATTCTGAATGTGTCTTATTATTGTGTAATATTCTTTAGATCCTTCGTGTCACTTGGTTGAATATGGAAGAGGGGAATTTAAATATTGCATCATCTAGATGCAAAACCAATAAATAATTTGTCATTCACTCTTTTCGTTGAAGGTTTAATATTGAAAACATGTCTCCCAATCTCATCTCATTGATAAATTAACTGTTCAAAATACTGATGCATTTTTTTGTTGAACTAACTGCTGACTCCGTGATGTAAACGGAGCTTGAAAATGACTCGTAATATACCGTAATTTTTTTTTTTTAACATGTGCTTGGGATGACTGAAAGGCCCAAAATCGCCTAATACTTTTTTTGCAACAGTAAAGGTGAAATATGACATGATTTTTCCTCGAATGCTAAATTTATAATGCAAACATTATGATTTTTTTGCATGTATACAAACTGCATATACCCATTTCTTCTGGCGAAATCAAGGTCTCAGTGTTTCCTCCAACCACAAAACATATCTTGGTGGATTCAATTGTTACATGTAACCGGATTTTTTTATTGTAAACGGACCACTTTTTGATCAACAAAAAACTTTTCAAACAAAGAGGGCATTCGATTTTTCAAACTTTGAAACTTAACGCAGCTCCTGAAAATCCTGAAATCTTGCAAGAATCAGAAATGGGGAAGATTTGCAGGGAGAAAATACTCTCCCACAGTAGTACTGGTCACAGTAGTATCGGGAAATTATATGATTCATTTCTACCAATACAGTAACATATTTTAAGAGTATATTCATATGGTTGGATGTGTCTTTCAAAGTAGAATCTCAAACCTTCTTCCAAAAATATACATTTTGCACATCATGACCAGCATCAAGGAATGTGAGGACTTTGTTCAAGGAAGCAAACTATTTTTTGGAAGGTAATGTTTGCTAATTTAAACCTTTTTTAATAGCTGAATCTTTTTGATGGTACATGTTCGAAAGAATTTGAAGATTGAGGTATTCTAGCAACATCCTGAAGATTTTTCTGCTGAAATGTTTTCACAGAACTATAAAAAAATGTAGAGTCAACCCCCATCTAACATAATTCATTCATACATTATGATGGGCATATAAGTATGTTAGACAAAAGTACATTACACGAATTTACTTTTTCTACAGGTTTCATGTCCAAAAAAATTATTTGACTGACATTTTATTTTGTGTGTCAGATAGGATGAAAAACCAACACTGGAGGCAGTACATTCAGCAAAATTTCATTAGCAAGGAGGTACATTAGACAGGGTTGACAGTATATATTAGAATATGTGTTTCCTCAAAGTAGCGCAGCCCTAGAAGGATTATGAACTTATATCAACTGACTCTTATGGTATGAATTTCTAACACACCAGCCCCAGCAAATAATTGAGCATAGCAAACCTCATGGCAAATGCATTTCATACCCCAACTGCCATGTGTTGCATGCTGCGCCATACTCAGGACTTTTGTTAAGCATAGCAGGTAGGTGTTTCAAAATGCCTACCTGATATGCATAGCAGGTGGGCATATCAAAATTCCACCGGCAATGCTGTTACATCCCGTCCTGCCTGTAACAAATTATTTGCTGGAGCCTCCCTGCATCATAATACATTTGATTTAGTGTCCCCTTTGGTCAGTTAGCGCAACATAATGAATTGAAAAATCTGCAAAAAGTTAAAATTCTCAGGGAAGTTGGTTCCATGGAATAAATTTAAAACGAAATTGCTTTCATTTCGGTTGTCTCCTAAAAGGAGAAAACATTAAAAGCATTTGACTTTACCTTCACCGAACACTTAAATGAAATTTGTAGCATTCTTCTGCATGCAGGCGAAAATTTCTTCGAACGTTTCGAATAGCCATCATAAAAAGGGAACCCTAGAAGAATATTTAATCAAATGAAACATTCATGAGCATACCAACTTGAAAGGAAATAGCCATAGTTCCACCCCGTGATCCGTGCCCTTTCCCGGAGGGGGAACTTTGTCCCCAGACTCCCCACCGCCAAAAAGGGCGCCTCTCATTTGGCAGTCCCATTAAGAAAGCTGCACTTCATCCAACTTTATTTTGGTAAATTACGAATATTTCAGACGCAATCAACCGCAGGAAACCCAAGTTCAGTTGTTCGTTGCATTTTTCGGGCCGCTAGGGTTTAACTTTATTTCGTAATACGTACGGTGTTAACCACCTTGTGCTCGGTTCTAATTTTTCCATTCTTATTTTCTTTTTTATATATTCTGATTGTTTTGTGGGTTTCCGTGGCCTTCTGGTTCATTTGGTCCTAGTGATTGTGTTCGGAAAATGAACCAGGTTCGGCATTGAGTTCGTATCTCATGGGAGGGGTTCTCTGTTTCATGTGGTGCTGAGTTCTGGTGATAGGGGCAATTTTCCGCGCCGGAAAATTATCCGGTCCAGATTAAACCAAAAAAATTTTATTTTTTTCAAAGTTCGACCCGATTTCTGCTCGAGGAAATGAACAGATTATTTTCGAAAATTTCTCCACATACTTCAATTTCTGCAATAGGCTTCCACAAAAGATTTTAAAAAACTTTGGCCGTTTCAGATGCGATAATTTTGCCCAAGTTTACGGTTTTTATGCGGTCCACTTAAAGATTGCTCCAAAATGTTCGGCCTCGTTTTCAAGCCACTCTATAGAGTCTCGAAAAGAAATATCATCGCATAAAATTCTGAATATATATATCATGGAAATAAACTAGAACAGTTCTGTTCTTGCCAGTTCAGGCAGCCAATATGTTGGTAATGCTAAAAAAACTCAGCGATTCGCTGCAAGAATCAGAAATGAGTTTTGATTACGCAATGCATTTCGCGGTCACGGTTAGACTTTATCTGACCTCTTTTGCTCAACCCAGAAACAAAGCGGAACAGAAGCGTCTAACATACGTTTACGACTACGAGTACTTTTTTACATTCTCGCATGCGTCTGGAAAATCATTTGTCAGCACTTAACAGGTACGTGCAGTACTGTGTTTTCAACAGACGCTGATGTGGTTTTTTTTTATAATTACTGAATTTTGTTTGCCCTGCAGGCGATGTACGTTCAGGCTATATTTGATAACTCAATTCGATAACAATACGATAGTCATTGGACGCCTTCATTTTAAAATCGTATTCTTTTCATTATATTGACATACAATATTTGCCGTTTGGGGTGTTTTTAAAAGTTTGATAAATATAAATCTGCAAAATCCCGTGAAATATAAGTTCTAGGAAAATTACTTTTTTCCAGGATTTAATCATATTTTTTTCATTTCCCATATCATTTCAGAAGCATCTGAAATGCAAGGAGGCAAAGGATTTCATATTGCGAATTTTTTTTTTCAGGAAAAATCCTTCACCGCTCTTTCATTCATCGTTAATAAAAAAAAGGCAAAAGAAGCGTCAGTTTAAATAATATAAACGCTTCGCGTGATTCCAGTCTTGAGAATACTACTTATTCATCATCCCGTAGAAACATGCAACTCGTCGTTGTGCTGATTTTCTGCTACACAAGTTTATGATGAATATCTTTTTTACCTGCGCTGAAAGAAAGGTACTGTATTACGAAACCGGAACGACTTCCTGAATTGATGAACTCATCGAAAATCAAATTGCTTTTTATGGGAGGCAAAATCGCCTCGTTAAAAGCCTCATTCGTTTTTATTTTTTTAACGTTAATGTAGTGGGACAATAGCTCAAACATTTGAAGTCAAACGTTCAGCGAATCACAATTTGTGGAACACCTCCATCAGGAAAAAAAGCTTTATTTTTTGGTGTTCTGCTCTTCTAAATTTCTTTCGTTTGCCACATGCATGAATATAGCTTTTACATTCATGTGTCTTTTTACTTAAACTTACCACGTTAAACATCTTGATCCTGTTCCTCAAAACCAGTGAGAAATCGCCTTATTTTTTTCTGCTTCGTCAGTCTGAAATGACTATTTGTCGCAATATTTGTGAGCAGGAAAAATGTTGGATATATTATTGAATGAATGTTGAATCACGATTTTAACCGGTTTTGTAGCAATAGTTTCACAACATATTTTTGTGCGTCATCAGAGAAAGAGTGTCTTCAAAAACGAGATTCTGAAAGAATTCATGCGTGAAAATTTCCCCTATATACGATATTAAATCCTAAAATATAATTTTAAAATTTCGAGCATGAAATGAAGAAATTGCTTGCACATAGGTTACATAGCATATCCAGAAAAAAACGGAAGTCATTTCGCCAGTAAATGTTATTAGATGTGTGTTCATGACAACGCCTTTCAAGGCATTACTGTATTTCTTCTCTGATTTTATAATAATTTTCTGCGTACGTATTAACGTTAAAAAATTAAAGATCATGTCGCATACTTACTGTCCAAATATATAGCTGTGTTGTAAAAGTAGAACCATTCAAACGGAGGATAAACGATGACTTTCCATACATGATTCCTTTTGAGTGATCAATGAAAAGGCCATTTCAAAGGGAAATTTTCAAAACTAAAGCATCATCGGGTTCAGATAGTAAGTCGTTTGTGGTAACTTTATTCACTGCGATATTCAACTGCAGGGTAACACTGGTAACAGCGAGGTACATTCAGGTTGAATTTCAAGTCTGCCGAAGCGAGAGCTTGAGTAACAGTTGGAAGGAGTTCTCAAACGATCTTCACTTGCTGCTGATTTTCTGTGTGTGTGGAAATAGTAAAATGTTTCATCGCCTGTTTTTCTTATTGACAAATGAACCGATACTTTAAATACCGTGTGGCATAATCTAGGATTCAGTTTAAACTCAGATTTTCCAGGTGAAGGCAAAACAACTGCAAAATGGAGAAATTTGTCTAAATTTTCGTTGTTGAAGAACGCTAGACTTTTTGGAATCGCGGATTCTTCTGTGATTTCTGAGGCATGACTCGTGAACAAGAAAGTTTGCGCATTTGTTTCTTGGCTTCATTGAAATCGATGATCCACTTCATCGAACATCCATAACCTCAAATAATAATAAACTGTTCTTCGAAGATTCGCACAGAAACATCTACGTTTCCTAGACTTCATGGCACCTTGAAATCACATCAGTGGATTGTTTCTCAGTGCATCAGACTAGCATTAACATACGAGTATATTTTAGAATAAAATTTTGGCTTGAGTTTTACTTGAGTGTTCATTACAGCCCTGAACGTTCATGAGTTCTGATTTTATTTTTAAAATCGGAATTTCCTCAAGTGAATAAATATATATAAACGGTATCCACATATATTCGTACTTCCGTGATATTTGGAAGAAAGTTTACGGAACAATAGTTCATAATTTATTTGATTTCCCATTTTTTAGGTACAGAGCGGGTCTCACCCACAACCCAGAAAATATCCTATGATGATTGTCGCATTTTTTCCCCAATCGTGTTGAGGTGTATCTTTTTTTGTTGTTGAAGATTAAAAAAAAAAGATTTGAAAACAACAGTGTGTCCTTCCCTGGAGCCAAAAGGCGGGCAGCAATCGACTGCGTGGTTGCACGCTTGATTAAAAACCAGGTGTCGGATGCAAAGCGTTGCTCATAGGTCATCAGCAGTTGCCCTAGTTTCTGTTTTTGTTTCTCATTACAAGATCCAGATAATGCAGTATATCGACATACTCTCTTTATCTCTCTCCCAATCATAGATATATAGCTCATTGTAATTTTCAACCAACGTTTCTCATTCACAGCAGGGAATTATCTCCTCGTGTCATCTCACGTTTTGCCCTTCGAGGAATTTCTTCACCTAATTGTTCCATGCAAACGAGTTGCAGGATTTATGCAAAGCTACTGGTCATCAGCTGGTTTTCCTGACCTTGAGAACTTTGTTTACGAGCAACCAAAAGTTGAATAAGCATCATCCTCCAGAGAGCCATTTTAATCCACTATAATTCAAGGAAGTGCGTAGACTCTGCATCTTGAAGATGAGCATTTCAATTTCCTAATTTTCAATCAGTTTTCCGATGCATGCGTCGTGATAGTAAGTTACTTCACAAATTCTCCTTGTATAAACAAGCACTAAAACTAACTTAATTTATTTTTAAAAAAAAGACTGTTTATTCGGTATACTGTTCGCTGAGATGTCTTGTCATTATGTAAATAATACGTTCTTTTATGTGCCATATTTTAATTCAGTAAAACTTGGATTAAGAATGATGTGGCACCTTTTTTGCGCGACGAATTTTCTGAAGACGCTTCGCGCGGAAAAACGTCAGATATTGTGTTCCCTAGCGATAATGAGATAGGAGACGAAATTCAGGAAAATTTGAAATATACTGAGAGAGGAGTCATTTGCGAGCAACAGGCATCCTTTATTGGTAACCCTGCATCAGGTTGAGAGCAATAAATAGATACCATCGGAACAACGGACTGCTGGACGAGACAAACCGGAAACGTAAAAAATGAGCTAAAAAAAAAGGGCTGTATCACGAGGACGGTAGGATTCCAAGGCACTTGGTAGCAACGCAAAGTCCTAGACGAACTTCAACACGAAACGCTTAAGCGTGGTACGGGGCCGGGGCGTAGGCGGGTTTGTAGGCTGGCTTGTAGGCGGGTTTGTAGGCAGGCTTGTAGGCAGGCTTGTGGTAGGCGGGCTCTGACTTGTAGGGGGCCGGGGCGTAGGCAGGCTCGGAATGGTAGGCGGGCTTGTGGTAGACCGGCTCGGGCTTGTAGGGGGCTGGGACGTAGGCGGGCTTGTGGTAGCTGGCCTCGGCCTTGTAGGGGGCTGGGGCATAAGAAGGCTTGTGGTAGGAGGATTCGTATTTGGGCTCTCCGGAGTAGGTGACCTCAGCCAAGTAGCCGGAGTCTCCGTTGACGTAGTATTTCACGGTCTGGGTCCTGCCGTCGGGCAACACCACGAAGTAGGAGCCGTCGGTGTTGTAGCCGTCGCGGCTCTCAGTCTGTCCATAGTTGTTGTAGGAGTAGTCGTCCTTGACGAGCCAGTCAAAGCTGTACTTTGGCGGCTGGGGAATGAAAAAAAAAAGCTTTGAAAAAATATTCCCTTTTCTGTGCCCTCGTAAGATGACTAATTTTTATGTTATATAATTCCGTTTCTTGCAAGAAAATCGGTAATTGCACGTCATGTTCCTGCCGTTCAATTTTCCGCCGCAAGATTATTTTCGTAAATTTTTCTCTCGCTGTAAGATCCGAATATTTTTCATAGCTTCTCTGATCTGCGAAAGTTTCAATTCTGCTATGTATCGGATCATTAAAATTGATGATTTTTAGTGAGTAAAATGAAATATTAAAAATATCAAATACTTCAATCTCAAAAGTAATTTCCGGTACAAGAAGTTTTTTTCATTCAAAAAACGATCGCTGTGCTCAATAATTGATAAAAAAAAACCATTTCCGGACGTGATCTGAAGGGGTGCCTTCTGTTTGACAAATTACTCAACTTTCTTCTCTCAAAATGTAAATTAATCAACAGCGCGGATTCATTTTGTGAAACTTACGTCATCGTAGGAGGGTTCTTTGTAGGCTGCAGGCTTGTAGGCCGGTGAGTTGTAGGGGTCGTCAGCCAAGCAGATGGCGGCGAGGGACAACAGAGCAACGTACTGCCAAATTAAAAAAAAAAGTGTACATAAGGCATATCTAAACATTTTTTAATTCAACTGCAAAGTTGTAGTTCAACCACAATCGAAATAAAATAACCACATCAGTTGGATCTTGCTCAAAAATGATATTTACGTTCGAACGAGTTCGAGATCTTTTTCCAGTTATGAGAAAATCCAACTCGGATCTTGAAGCGAATATTGGATTATTTGTGATGTATTTTTTATTTTTCAGATTTGATTTCTGGTGAAAAATTAAATATCCTGACTTTGAATTAATCCGCAGGCTTCTATCAAAACCCGAGCAGAATTTCCGTTTTGGAGTTTTACTCGAAGCGATTGGGCAGGAAAAAAAAAAGGACGATCGCCATCTCTTTCCGACTTTGTCAAAAAATTTCAAAAATATGAGAATTAAAGCATTTTTCAAACGCACCTTGAACATTTTGGTTGTTTGGAGTGTGATGAACACAAAAAATTTCGGATCCAAATAAATAAAAGACGAGGCGTTCACTTGTTGATGTGTGAATAAATACTGATGCTGGGTTCGGACCAGCGCCTGGGCTTTTATACTCGCTTCGTTTCCTCGACCACGAACCAGAACGGCCCTGCCCAAAAAATATTGTCTCTCAACAGGGGGAAAAATACATGCACACTGCAGAGGAAATTACGATCTCAAGGGATACATGAAAATAACCGTGGGGCGATTCCATAACACAGGACGCGTTCAACAAATTGGCGAGCCCAATAAGTTGAACGACTTTGATGACAGTCTTTACGAGATTTATCGACGAAAATTGAATCATTTTTCCTCTAACGACCTTCAGCTTTCTGTATGAGAAACAAAAAGTACTCCGATGTCAAAGTTTCTAAGTACCTTGAACCATTATATTTTTGCCACCTTCCCCCTTTGTTCGAATCAAGTTGACTGTGGAATCATTCAAATCAGTGATATTCACGGTACTCAGGAAAGTACATCACATCTGATGAGACAGCATGTATATTTAAAAAATGAACAGTAAGTTTTGATTTTTATAGAAGATGTGGTTACAAAAATTATGTTCTGAAAATCGAGTGTAGTCAAGTAGAGACCGCTTTTGTTATTTGCGTAAATAATATAATTTCCCCGCAGATTATTTTTTAATGAAATCTAAGAAGGCGCTCTTTTAAAGTCATCTACAAATCAAAATTGTCGCATGTTTGAAATGTGAAATTAATTTTTTTTTTAGATTTTAATAATTATAGCGTTGATTTGAAGCTTTAAACATTTTACATATTTTCCTTTTTGAAGAAGAAAAGGCTATACGCGACACTTGAGAGCAAATACTGTTTACAATGACGAGATATATTTTTAAAGAATGGTTTTTTTTTATAGCGGCAACACATATCACAGTACAATATTGTAAAGGTAAAGCTTTCTGAACAATAAGCTAACTTGAAATCATTGGATTATTCAAGAGTGCTATAGTTCTTTTGAGCTTTGAAAGTATACTGTATTTGGCAAAAATGTTGCAAAGAGGACCATTTCAATTTTTAATTAACTATCAGTTTCCAATACATGCACACAATACTGTACATTGATTTGCAAATTATTTTTATACTAAAACTAACTCGATTCATCGCGTGAAATCCTGTACGGGGTGGACCAAAACAAACAAAGTGATTTTTCACTTAAAATAGCTTGTTACAAAATTGAGGGAAAGCTATGAAAAAACACCACTTGCTGAAAGCTTATTCAATCTCTTTCAAATAGTATGTAATTGCATGGTCCAAAGGACCACACAGGATGGTCACAAAAACCATTTGAATGCAAACTTTCCAATAAACGTTTTCAGGAAGCTTCTAGAACTAAGCTGCTGCTCTCCAAAGCTGTTTTTAGGGATAGATGGTGTGCAGGACCTGTATAATTCAACTGGAAAATGCCATGCTGCCTTTCAGAGGGTGCACACATTCCCAAAATTTAGGAGGGGGTCATCCTGAAGAAATTTGCATGCATAAGGGGTCATATAGGAGCCGTGAAGGTGGGGACCCAGCAAGAAGCTTGTATTGGGAATCAGGAGTGGAGCAACATCACGTAGTTCAATTTTTTTGCCCTTCTCACCCCCTGTCCTGAATTTTTGGAATGTGTGCGCCCTCTTGAAGACAGCATGAAGTTTTTCAGTTGAATTACTAGTCTTGCACCCCATATCCCTAAAAACAGCTCCGGAGAACATTACCTCAGTAGTGCTAGAAGCTGCCTGACAACTTTTTCGCGGAAAGTTATCATTCAAATGGTACTTGTGACCTTTCCTTGGCATTATTAGGACCATAAAACTACATGTTATTTAAAATTGAATTGAATAAGCTTTTGTGTGGTTTTTGCTGCAGCTCAATCTGTTTCGCTCAGAGCTATTCTAACTCAAAGATCCGTTCACTTTTTTTGGTATTATATTTGCTCCTCCATGAGACAGCACTGTGGATGCATGCAATTGCCATTACCAGATGAACTGCTTGTTGTTTTAACATGAACTCAACTGATTGAAGTTACTCTTCCTTTTGAAAGTTTTGTTAAAATTTACCTGTACACATTGGCAGGAATGAGCACTAAATAGTTGCTAATATCATGCTGCATCATTGCATGTACATTCCTCCATCATCACATGAATCTAATACAAATCATTTATGGCATGAATTTAGTACAAATCAGCAATGGTCAACATGAAAATTGCTCATTCACCACCAGAAGTTCGAAGTTCTCACCTGTGTTCAAAATAAACCTTGATTGTGCTGCAAACATTCAAGTTTTCTTTCATAAATAATCACTAAAAGAGTGCATGCAACAGTTCAATAATCACCACACTCTGTCTGGGAGAAATAAATCTCAGCAATTAAAGCGTCAAAGCTTAAATATTTATCCATGTACATCATCTTTAGGTATATAATATACTGCGGGTATATAATAAAATGGGAAAGTGATGTACTGGCATATGACGTTATGGCAATGCATTAACATCACCTTGCCAATGGCATTACCCTCATTAGGCTGGAATGTGCTTATCCCCTCATGCTCAAAAGGATCAGGAATTTTGGCAATGTGATGCGCACACATTGCCCAATGTATGTCTCGCATAATGTTATGGGGCTGAAGTGTTGATCTGTTGAATGACAACCAACTTGACATTGCCACAACGTTCTTGCCTCAACATATTGCCAATGCCTTAGCAATAATGCAAGGTGCAAGGTCCCCATTCTTTGCTGGGATCAGCTTGTGCCAAATTACATAACACCTTTTGTGAATCATTGATTAATTGTGCATTACATGGAATACATATGAAAAGTTTTGTTCAAAATGTGTTGGGAATATGATGCCTAGAAGTAAGCAAAAACATAGTCTGGTTGCTATATTTTTTGCCATTTTCATTACATATTTACAATACTGTACAATTGAAACTTTAACGGCTGTATATTGCTTTGCCTCCAACCATGGAACAATTGTTTTCCAAGTAATTCAAGCTACACTTGGAGCATTGAAATACGTTTCGAACTTCCAACCAATGATGGAGTATTTCAATTTCAGCGCTCCAAGGCTTTCAGCAGTATTGCTGAATCGATGTTCTACGCTGTGTAAAACATAGCAGCTGCGTAGTTTTCTGTGAAAAATCACTGATGAACTTTTGGAGAACAACAATCAAAACTTTTTGAGAACAATTTCATTGCTCCGTAAAGCTGGATTGTAAATGTTAATTTAATAGCGATTTCATTTTTCTTTCAAGCCACAAATGGAACTACCCTTCTAAATCTAAATAGTTTCATTGCAAAAGAGATTCTATGCAAGAGCCCATTTCACATCAAATACTGTATAGGCCTAGCTAGAACTGATATATGGAGCGTTCGAAGGATTTTCGAGGCTCACTTCGAGTCACAGGATACGAGTTATGTTCAGTTCATGGAAAATCTGTCACGGGTATTTTAATTATATCCGTGAAATAGATTGACCGTATATATCTGAAATCCCGCAAGAAATAACAGGAAATTTTCAAAATTCCTTTTCCGTCTCTCGACGACCAATCGTTTTCAGCATCAAGCACTAAAACAGGGTTTTCAAGCTCCGAAATATTCTTCTGAATTCATTACGTTGCAATGGTTTTGTGTCGCTGATCATCACCTGCCTGATCTCGATTTTATATTCGTTAAAAAAAAAAAAAAGTGCAAGTTAATAAGAGCGGGAAATGTACGCACACTTGAATTACATTCAATATTCCACTTAAAAAGGCCCTCAAATAGATTTCAGTCGGTTGAATTGAAGTCGGCCTCTTACTTACAAGACAGTAGCAAAATTTTCCACACGAGTGATATTTTAGTAGAGGACTTCTGTTAATACATTCTCTTGCTGAGACCCAAAAATATGTGGGTTGAAAAATGCATATTTATGTTGAGGGTGAAAAAAAAACGTTTGTTAACAGGCTGGGGATTCAACAATTCTTTATAACTACACATTTGGTAATTGAATCGAACAATGGATGTATAAATGCAATTTTAACAAATTTAAGAATATTCTGATGAAATGTTGAATAAAACATTTTAAAAATTTGTTATTTTTCCAGGTGAGTTTTGGAAGCCCATCGCTGGTTTTTTGTTTGTTTTTGTTTTTGCTTGTCCCTAAAGCAGAAAGGAATGAGATTGACTCTGGGGGAGGGAGAAATTTGGACTAGCAACTGCAGTGTCCTCGCGTCGGGTCGGGCAGGGCCGCGGGTTGCCTTCGCTTCCGGCAGGAATTCCCGCCAGTCACCTGATAATTTCCCGCTTTGCTCCCACATTGTTGGGTGGGGTGCTTATAGGGAAGTATTCTTATTTTTTTCTTTTTTTAAAACCCCGACATGGTATTCCTTACAGAGCTGATTTTCATAGAAGTATGAGAGCAGGAACTTGATTCACGGCCGCCAACCCCGACTCGAAGGGTTGGGCTTAAGTGAGGTCAACCGACGTCGGCTTCATTATTTGTAATTTTTTTGTTGTAGGTGATCGAGGGGATTTGATTTAGGGATCTGATCGAAATAATCTGCAAGGTTGATTACCTCATCGTTGTAAGACTCCTGAAAACCTCTTAATTTCCGATCGACGATCTTGATTGCATTCTCACGCAAATTTCCTGCAAGTCACCGCAACAATTATTCTATTTTAATTCATTTGTACACCGGGCGGGGTTTGTCAAGGAAAGGCTTCCTTCCGGTTGCTCGAAAATCTCGGTTTTTCTTTTCACGGTCACCGAAATGGGTTCTGGCACTTGACCTCCGTCATTTCATCAATTATTCCGGCGAGGTCGACTTCAATATTTCATTTTCCAGAAGCATTTCTAACGCGGCTTGTTCTTCGGAACCAAGTTCCGCGCTTCCGAATTGGATTTCAATATTTTTTGTAACGTGGAGAATTTTTTTTGTTTACTCACAGTTGTCAATGTCGAAGGAATGTAAAACATATATTGCATATAAAAGAACGCAGAATGAAATGTTCGCAATCGAAAAGAACACAGTAAATTAGCAAACGGTAAACATTTTACCCAGTTAAATACATTTCAAAAAGA